ATTATATATATATATATATGTATATATATAAGTTAAATAAAAAATATATTAAATAAGCAAATAAGTTAGAAATAAAAAATGTATGGAGTTTTTAGGGTTATTACTCGTAGTATTTAATACCTTTTTGAAAACAAATATCCAGTATCTTCTTTCATTAAGGAGAATTTGATATATACGTGATTGTAAATATCAGTTATGGAATCTCACTTAATAAAAAAATAAGGTAGGACATTTATTTTCAAAAAGTTGTTGCATAGACACTAAATATGGTTTTTTATGACTTAGTAGAGAGAAACTATAATCAATACAATTCAGTCTGTTATTTTTACATCATATAATACATTTTCCTGATTTATAAATGATTTAAACTGATAAAGTATTCGGCAGCTCAATATGTACGAGTAACTATTCTGATATCTAGGAATCCTACCTTTACTGTATGTTGTATTAAAGGAGATTCGTGTGGACGAATGCATTCTCTTATATTCTTCATGATCTTCAAATACACATTATCAAAGACTACTGTTCTAACCATGATGGTAAAGAGGAATTTGGAGATTTAACTTTAATATTAAATTGTTTAAGTGTTGCTTCTAATGCAGTTTGATTCCCAGAAAAATAAGCAGATACTGCATTATGAAATAAGAGTAATTGTTTATGCATCACTTTAATCTGAAAAGAAAAGAGAGATAAATGAATATTATATAATGATGTATAATAAAAATGTGATTACATATTTATTAAAATAAATTCATACTCTGTTCTCATCTAAAAATTTTAATTTAATTGAAACATCAGAACGTAATTTTTCAAAATGTTGTTTATGTTCTTCATAATTCAATTGTGCTTCTTCTAATCTTGTTGCATTGTTTCCATCTGATTTTATAGCCTGTGCTAGTGTTTCAAGATCTGTTCTGTATGCATCGTACTCAATCCTGTTACATAATAGAGCACGTTAACTACATATGTATGAATATTATTTTCCACAAAGTTTTATTTTAATGTAGACAAATTGTTTTATAATTGCCACCTTACCGTGCTATTTCATACTGACGTACTGTTAGTAAAGTATCTTCCATAGTTTTATTGCAAAGAGTATTTACAGAAGATACAAAGAAATTCAAGGCCCCTAGCAGTGTTTCTCCATTTTTAGTCAAATTTCTTTGTGTTTCTGAATTATATAAGAATTCTTCTTGTAATTCAGGTGATTTTTGTGCTAATTCAGAAAACGCTTCTCCTAAAGCATGTTGAGTTTGTACCACATGATGAAAATGAGAGGCTAAAGCCCGAGATAATCTTAAGATATTACAATATTTTCTTTGAGTGTCTCGCAATAATTCAATTTGACTCTCAAGTTCTAGAAATATTTAATTAATAAAATTATATTTTATAATATATTGTACATATTGTAGTTTAATATTATTAAAATGTGTGGATTACATATGAGTTGTATTATATTAAAATAATGTTAATATAAAACTAATATGTAAAGGAATAGTAGTTACTTTGAAAGACAATGATATAAAGTAATTTTTACAAATTTATATCAATTTAATAATCAATAAAAACTTACCAGAATCCACAGTGCGTGATGTTTTTCCAAGTTTTTCATACATAAGTTGTTTTGTACACTTATATGTAGAAATACTCCAATTTTTAATACTTTCAATTTTACTTTGAGCTGTACGCATTGTTTGCGTATCTCCATTTTGGATAGGTGTACTTGGAGATACATTGACTGCTGTTAAAGTTTTAATTTTATTTTAAAACTTTCCTTATATAATTTTAAGAATTATTAACTACTGTTACGCATTTTAATAATTAATGTCAATAAAAATATTATAACAAATAATATATACATACATGTTTGTGGCACCGAGCTACCTACAGTTAAATTTATGGTAGCTGGTCTTGGTAAACTATCTCCGGTACAATTATTTGGTACATGTGGTGGTGGTGTTCCAGAATGAACAGCACTATCACTTTCATTTAATGAAGGAGCATCTTTTAACATTTCATGAATGCTTCTTTCCATTACG